TTCCACCCTCTATCGAGCCTCATACTCATGTGCAAGCCCTTAAAGATCCTTACCGACGTAAGGCTATGGAAAATGAGTTCAATGCTCTACTCACTAATGACACATGGGAATTAGTTCCAAAATCCTCTCATACTCTAATCGGATGCAAATGGATCTTTCGTATCAAAAGAAACCCGGATGGCACCATTGGAAAATATAAAGCCCGCCTTGTAGCTAAAGGTTTTCTCCAATAGTATGGAAAAGATTATTTTGACACATTCAGACCTGTCACTAAGCCTGTCACCATTCGTACAATTCTTTCCATAGCCATCTCTCAGAATTGTCCACTAAGACAGCTAGATGTCAACAATGCCTTCCTTCATGGCACCCTCCATGAAGAAGTATTCATGTCCCAACCTCCAGGCTTCGTTCGTCCTCAATTTTCCAGCCACATATGTAAACTAAACAAATCACTCTATGGGCTCAAACAAGCACCCAAAGCCTGGTACATTGAGCTCACTATGTACCTTCTGTCTGTTGGTTTTCGCAAATTAAGAGCTGGCCCATCACTCTTCATTTACAATAACAACCACATCCTTAGTTATCTTATTGTCTATGTCGATGATTTTATCCTCAGTGGTAACAACAACTCTTTCCTAGATCAATTTGTCACCAATTTAGCAAAGCATTTTTCAATTAAAGACCTTGGTCCCCTTCACCACTTTCTTGGATTTGAAGTCATCTCTACTCCCACAGGTATGTTTCAATCTCAACACTGCTGTATTCAAGATCTTTTAACCCACTTTCACATGGATGGAGCAAAAGAGGTGGCCACCCCACTGAACCCTTCAGTTACTCTCAAATTGCAAGATCGGCCCTCCAGTGTTGATCCTACACCGTATCAGAAGCTTTTTGGGTCTCTTCAATACCTAGCTTTTACATTACCAAACATCTCGTTCGCAGTCAACAAACTCTCCCAGTTCATGCACTCGCCATCCGAAACTCATTGGCAGTCACTAAAATGAGTCCTTCGATACTTGAAAGGTATGATCCATCATGGCCTGTTTCTTAGTCGCAGGTCCTCTATGGAGCTCACAGCCTTTTCAGACTCTGATTGGGGTGGCATCGAATGTGGAGGTCGTTCAACAACATCATATCTTCTCTACCTTGGTTCCAATATCATCTCATGGAGGTCAGCACATCAAAAATAGGTCTCTCAATCCTCCACAGAAGCTGAGTACAAAGCTCTTTCCAATGCAACATCTGAATTAGCATGGGTTAAGAACCTCTAAAGTGACTCAGGGATCTCCTCAACACCTTCACCAACCTTATACTGTGACAACATGGGTGCAACTTATTCTTGTGCAAATCCCATATATCATTCTCGGATGAAACATGTTGCCCTCGCACTACAAGAAAAAGGCCCTTTTACGACGCGCAAACCACGACACTCATTAATTTATGTTACGCAAACGAGATTGACATTAAAAAATGTCATCTCTTCAAAAAAAATTAGGATTTAGGTCACGCATTATTGCGTGCCCTTAAATTAGTGTCGCATGTAAAAAAATAAAAAACACAGAAGGCACTTTATCTAAAACGTGCGTCCTCTGTGAATGTCGTTTTATATTTTTTTAAGAAACGCGCGTCTCCCTAGAGGGAAAATGAAATCCCCAAATTTTTTAAAACCCCGCCTTCTTCTCCCTCATCTCTACACATCCCCCACATCCATCGCCTCCAATCCTTGTTGCCTCTTCTAGCCTCATGCGGCGATGCACCTTCCATCTCGAAGAACACTCAAAACACCTGATCAATTGAATCCATTTTCCGTTCCATACGAACACTTCGCAATCGATGACCTGATCAGCCTTGCCTAACCTTGCCGACAATCTCTGTCTCACCTCACCTCGTCGGCGACCTAAGGTTCACCTCTCCTGGCATGTGACTGCGACTCCCAAAAGATTTAGTGTTATGCTCGATGCTTCTCAACAAAATCGATCCAAGTGTCGTCGCTACTATCTCATAGCGACTTAGGGCTTTCTTGGTTCAAGGTATCGAATCTCAGACATCGACAACTTAGGGTATTTTCATACAAGGTGTATCTATGTACTTTGATTCCTCCCATGACGAAGCCACAATGTTGGTTTCGAATATGCAAAACATGGTAATATTTGTTTCTTTTTTTAGTTTATCTGAGTTCAAAAATGAAAAGATTATATTCTTTTATTAAATTTCTTTAAAACAGGGGTAACTACTTTGATCATAAAAGTCAAATTATATCGTGTTTTTCACAAACATGGTCTTGATATGGATAAATTTCAGGTCCTTCAAATCATGTTCCTCCTGCAACAACTCATATAGGGCAAGTTCAACTAACTAGTCACCAAAAGGTCGTAGAGACTATTGCTCTATGAGAAATTGTTCATTTTATCATCCTCAAACATCAATAAACAAACACACAAGGACCACTCTACAGTTTCTTGTGTCCATATGAGTGGTAAGTTTCTTGTAGAATGTTAATTCAGTTGCCTTTGACTTTCATCCATTCTGCAGTTTTCCATATTGACTTTTTATATTTTTCACACTTTGTCAGCTGAAAGTACTATCTTTGGTCAAAGGTTTGGGAAGCCAAGTTATGCTAGTTAAAGAAGTCAACTCTTTGCTAAGTGAACCGTTAGAAAGACACAGTCATGATAAATCCCATCAAATATTGTCAAAGACAGAAGTTCAAATCCTATGTCTTCTACTAGAGGTAATTTCTCTAAAAACTTTATATAATGATAAGCCTTTAAAATCTCATTCTTTCATTGAATTAGTTTTTTTCTCCCTCTTCTTAGTATTGTACAAAGCTTACCTCAGCAACTGGTGGAAGCTTAGCTTCATTACTTTTCTTACTTTTTCACTCGTTGGCTTCAAAAAACAACAATTTGGAGAGTTTCTCCATAGAGTGGGAGTACACTTTTGCCTTACAAGTATGTCAGCAGTATTCATGCATGGTATGGCTTCTTTCACATGTGGCATTGCTTCAAAAGATAGAGATGGGTACGTGGGTCCCACAACTGTTTGTACAGTTGCTAGTTGTTGTGAAGTTTAATGGTGAAAAATTACAAGACCCTGAAATAGCATTCAAGATTAAATATGGTGAAGATGTTGATAGAATTTAGTCTACAAGTGGGGATCTCATGGAGCTTGTAGTCACGCACATGCAACTTGTTGGGTCAAGAAGAAAGCAAAATGGTGTTTCAGATTCACTAGGAAAGGAACTGAAGGAGTTTTGACATAAAGCTATTGCTTATTATTATTATTATTATTATTATTATTATTATTATCATCATCATCATCATCATCATCATCATCATCATCATCATCATTATTATTATTATTATTATTATTATTATTATTATTATTATTATTATTACATATAAATCATGTTTCTTTAATCATATTAACCAACTTATTTGGTTTTCATAGGCTCTAGGGCTTGTATATGACATGGGAAAATTCATAATAATCACTGAATACACATATCCATAATCACAATATAATATGGTTGGAAGGTAAAATTTATATTACTTGTGTAGGGAATTAACACGACTCTATATTGATTATTAGACCTTGTGAATTTAAATTTTGGTTGTATGTGTATGTAAATATGGATGTTGAGTATAAATTTGTTATATAAATTATTTTGTATTGGGTTATACAAAGTGACTAATAGGGATGAGCATCGGAACCGGGTACCCGCTTTTGGAACCGGAACCGCCTCGGAACTGGTGGTTTTGGAACGGACACCGCCTTAGGCGGTTCCGGTTCCGGTTCCTAGAGTTATGGAACCGCCTTAAGCGGTTCTGGTTCCGGTTCTCGTTTTTTCGGAACCGCTACCCGCTGGGTACCCGTCGGAACCGGTTTATATATATATATATATATATATATATATATATATATATATATATATATATATATATATATATATAAACGTGTGTTACTTAGACCGGTTTAGAATATATTGGTACGATTTTATCCGTCTTTGGTCCGAATTGATTTGATTTAGATCGAACTAAATTGTGGTTTTGTCAAAAAAAAGTTAACAAAATTAATGCGACCGGGTTACCCGCTCCCGGAACTGGAACCGCCGGTTCCGGGACTGGTTCCAAACATTTAAAAACTGCCTAGAGCGGTTCCGGTTCCGGTTCTAACTTTCTAGGAACCGCCGGTTCCGGTTCCGGTTTGTTGAAGGTGAAAAACAGAGCTGCTGGTATATTGGATAACTTTGTGGAAGGTGAAAAATATGCAGAGCATAGATTGAGGAATTTTGTTCGCAACAAGTCTCCTGAGATCATGCCATCTATCAATTCTTTCTTCACATATCCAAAATGAAGCAAACTTAATGTTGTGTTAATTCCCTACACAAGTAATATAAATTTAAATTCAGTTCCTTTTAAACAAGATTTAGTAATCTTTTTTTGTTAATATGTTGGTTGGTTGTTTGTAATGCAGCTTGGAGTTGAAACTGTCCCGATCTTTGTTAGCCCAATCAGCTATCGGTTGATGAAGCCATTAAAGATGGTGCTTCACCTATCTCCTTGAGCCTTAACAAAACTATAGATGTTCATTGTATGATCGATGTCATGGATCATATGCTTTCATGTGAGTTACCTTTTAATATTCCAACTCTTGTAGCTTTATTCATGTGATCTAAAGCTAATTCATATAATGAGGGTATTTTGGTCTTATAACTATTTGGTAGGCAACTTGGCACAAGGGTCATTCACTGGCACAAAACTGAGATTCGATGGAACATCGTATTTCTCTGGAAGTTGTCAACAAAACTGAGCAAGTTTTCATTCAGGTACATGAATCATTTAAAAAAATTGCATTTTTTATAAGTGTATTGAAGATGGTTCATCAGAGGTGTAGATTGGACAAACTCAAGTTATTGGTTTTTTTACAGCTCAACTAGTTCAACCTTATAGAGACAAACCAAATAACGATCATTTTCAATTTACATTGAGTTTTCACCAATGGCAGATCCTTCATTTGATACAGGTCACCACACACACTTTGATATTGAGCTTGGAAGAATCATAGATTGTGGTTTAAGGTATAGATATCACTCTTTCTAAATTCCCAACTTTTTTTTTATGAAAACATCAATCTTGCAGAGAAAGCAGGACTGTAGATACAAAATCACTGTGTATAATTGCAGGGAAGTTGGTTTGGTCAATCCAGATTGACCTTCACATTATAGACAATGGAGGGTAAGCTGGAATTTGGAAAAAGAAAATGGAAATGCAATTTCATGTACGTTTTTACAGTTAAATGCAATAGTTGAAGTTTGTTTTTATTTTATTACATGGCCATCTCTTTTTATCCGTATCCCTACAACATTATCAAGTGGAGTTGCTCTAACTCGGGTCCTTTTCACATCTCAAATCAACCACTTGGAAAGCTCTAAAGGTTTGAGTTTTTTTTTTTTTTTAATTATTCCGAATAGCTTTTAGTAATCCTTGTAATTATACTTTTATCTTTTTTCCTATCAGATGTGCATCCTCAGTTTAGTCATTGATTAGTTCCTAAGGCTGCTTGGTTTTGAGTCAGTAGCACCTTGCGCTACCTCTTGCAAACTCAGGTATGTAGCACCTTGCATCCTCAGTTTAGTCATTGATTAGAAGATCATATGTCTTGATTTCATGCATAACAATAGAGAGATATTGCAACATCTTTAATTGAGCTATGTAGCATTATAATCCTTCAAATGTGATGGAAACATATGAGGTGCAGTGGATAAGCAAAGAAAATTCTTAATCCATTATTTCACTAATTGTTATTTTGGTTGTAGGTATGATGATGAGGTGGGTATTGGAAACAACTCCCTTTGTCTCTTATACTTTGTTAGATCACACCCTTTAATTGTACATAATTCACTATTGCCTTAAGATTGTAGAAGTTGGTTAAAGGATACTTGCTTAGAGCTGCTCAAAGAAACTCGGGTTTTTTTACGGACATCTACAGATTAGTGGTCAGCCACGTTACAAGGCATTCTTTTATTTATTAAGATGTTATCTAAAGTTCTTAATACTTCACACAAGCTCTTAATATTTTCTAATTTTTTGCTTTCATATCTTTATGGCATGGAAGTGCAAAATGGATCCCAAGTTGGCATGGCATTTTGGATCCCTTTCAAAGGTGTCTCAAGGTAACATAACATATCTATTTATTGATGGAGTCTTTATATATTAAGTACATGCAATCAGAATATTGGCACCTTTATATGTAGTGTGTATTTAAATAGTGATTTTAATGATCTTGTATGACCTAGATGCATTCACTGCAGCTATTGTTGTGAGTATTGCCTTCTCTTTCATTCATGCTTCGTTAGTTGTTGCTATTATGAAGGTAGGCCACTCTCCGATTGTATTTTTCACATAATTGACAAGGAGCTGTTATATGTATTCAGACTAGGCTTAGAGCAATGGTTGCAAGAGATGAGTTCATAAGAAGAAGAAACAAGGCTGCAACTATAGTTCAGGTACTATGGATGAATTATGTTTGTAAAGTATTTAAGAAAATGATTAGAAACAACGGTGAATTTGTACAAATTAGTTAGCTACTTGCAGGTTGATCTTGAATAAGCAAAGGGGCAATGGATTGTATTTTTTGTATCTAATTCGTTTGTAAATTTTTGTTACAACTTATATTGATTTGTTTTATCTTTCCATGGAACGATTATTTGTATGACATTAAATTTATGCAATGGACTCTATTTTTTGTATATGATATTTTATTTTCTATTATGAAACATTAAATACAAATTTAATTTGAAAATAAGTAAATCTATAAATAATGTTTTTTAAAGCATTTAAAATTATGATACGCAAAAATGTGTGTCATATTCATTTATGACATGGCCTTTCTTGACAGGGGCTTTCTTGATACGCATTGCGTGTCATTAACACGCGCGTCGTCTTACTTTACGACATGACCTTCCTTGATACGCACTGCGTGTCGTAAACGTGCGTCGTAAATGAGCGTCGTAAATGCGCGTCATCTCTCTTTATGACATGGCCTTCCTTTACGCACATTTGCGCGTCGTCTGAGCCTTTACGACGCGTAATGAGCGTTGTAAAAGGCTGTTTTTCTAGTAGTGTCGATTACCATTTGTTCATGAAAAAGTTACTGCGACTCCTTACAAGTTCGCCATATCAGCTCATATGACCAACTTGCTGATGCACTCACCAAACCACTCACTCGTGCTCCATTCCAAAGATTACGTTCCAAGATTGGAGTCTCCAGATGGATCCTCCATCTTGCGGGGGTGTATTAAGGAATAAAATATCAACTATATCTTTTATATATTTAGAGTCAGTCATGTGTTAATTCTCAGTCAATTCACAGTTGTACATTCCTGTATTAGTTCCTAATTTAGTGCTTAGGGTTGCAGTCATATTTTGGCTATATAAGCCATGCTCATGTACAGTTTTATTTATGCAATTAGATACACAATTCAATATACCCTATTGCCATAGTTTGGATATTGGGTAGCCTCTTATTAAGAGTACGTGTGTGCTGATATTGATGATCAGTGGAGTACGTCCTACGTACAGAAGAACATTTTATGTACGAAGTGTTTTTCAAAGCTTTGTGTCTCAGGTGCTACTTGTGCCAGGGTATTATTATGTTCTGGGGTACGAGTCCGACACATTCCAAGAGGTGTTTTGGCAAACTTATTAGTTGGGAAAAGATTAAGAATGTGGGCGGAAATCTCTAAGGCATACCCTCAAAATGAATATGGAAGAGAAGCTCGACTCATCATGGAACGAACCATGTCCAACAAGGTTCGATTGCACCTCTCAGCCATACCATTAAGTTGTGGTGTCCTTGGAGGTGTTAATTGTGAAACTATTCCACATTCCTTGAGGTAGTCGTGGAACTCGATACTAATATACTCACCGCCTCTATCGGATCTAAGCATCCTTATCTTCCTGCCCAATTGATTCTCGACTTCTTGTTTAAACTCTTTAAACTTTTCAAAGGTTTTTGGCTTATGCTTGATTAAATAGATATAGCCATATCTGCTATAATCATTAGTAAAAGTCACATAGAACCAATTAGCATCATTTTTGGTAGATCAGAAGGGCATACACACATCTGTATGTATGAGATCCAACAAACCTTCACCTCTTTCATAAAAACCAGTGAAAGGTGATTTTGTCATCTTACCCAAAAGACAAGACTTGCATTCATCGTCTGACCTTAGGTCAAATGATTCTAACACTCCATCCTTTTAGAGTTAGGCGATGCGTTTCTTGTTAATGTGTCCAAGATGACAATGCCACAAGCATGAAATTGTGCAATTGAGACAAAGTAGTTTTATTGTTGTTCAAATGATAAGTCAAGATGAACTGATCATAACAACTTGGCAATGAGTTTAACACTAGGTCGATCATCAAATCTTCATCAAAATTCACTTTAAGCTTGACAATCCTATCCACATATCGTTGTATTCTTTGTATGTGGCTGCTAATATATTCTCCCTCTTTCATCTTGCTAGCTAAGAAGGACTTTGCCACCTTGTACTTTTCCTGATGAGATTGCATATGGTACTTCTCCATAAGGTCCTTGTTCATCTCGTACGACCAGTAATCCTTTTTAGTGTCTCTTCAATTAAGGAGTCATTGTGTCCAACATGATGCAAGCAACATTTGTCGCATCATTGTAGTGCTTTTTTGTAGCGACCAATTCTTCAGGAGTGACCTTCTCTTCATCGATCTCATCTAATGGTATCTCAAGGACATACTCCTTGTCCTCAAAATGAAGTGCCATTTTTATGTTGTGCATCTAGTCATTGTAGTTGATGCCATCCATTTGCACCTTAGAGCAGATGTTCAACAAGGAAAAGTTGTGGGAAGAGGATGAAGAGGAACCAAAAGCATCGTTTGGAGTAGACATCTGTAAAATAAAGGCATTTTTAGTCAGATAAGAACAATCCTTAATATAACAACCCATAAGTGAAATATCAAGGCTGGGATCCAACTAAATAATTCACAACCTAGAAAAGGGATGTCGTAATCTAATTGTAAATTATATAAAGATAGGTAAATGACGATTTACCAATTCCACCATCGAAAAATGAAATTTAAGGGAAATTAAGTTAAGTGAAATTCTTAGATATTTTGAGACTCATTGAAACTATTCAATGGCATGTTTAATCTCAGATTATGTGCTTCCATTTTTGACTCGGATATCAAGGATCACAAACAAGATGTGAATAATCATGCAAATTAGCTTGGAACTATCGATGTCATTTATCATCTCATTTTAATGTGTCGGTTAACCACACGCGCTCCATTAATCAATGATAAAATTCGAGATGCCCATTATCATTCTTTATAGTCACTACTAGTGTGCCGCTTAACCACACGCGCTCCACTAACTACTATAAAATGTGAAATTTCATAGGTTAGCATACAAATTGACATTTTCCTAAAGTAACTAAGATTGGGATTTAAAATAAAAATGTTTAGTTACTTTTGATTGCATTATACTTATTAATGAGAATTAATTGTCCTATCAAACCTGTTCGACTAACGACCCCTCACCAATCAAGGTAGTGGTGGGTGAAAGTGGACACTCATTCAACTACCATTTTATAGGCAATTTTCTTATACCCCCATACAGATCGGCTTCATGAATGAGATGTACTAGTGGTTCGACTGACTTAGTCTTATACGTATAGTAATAACTAAACATTTAATTCTACATATAGTATAAAGTGTATTTTTTAAAACTTTTTTTGAAAATACTTGTTTATATTTAAATTTCAAAAATTAAACAATTAATTTAAATTTAAAAATAAACCAAATGATATTTGATATTAATTATTAAGTTCATTTAATATCTAAATTAATTATTTATACACTTAAAAAATCAATCATATTAATGAACAGATAATTAATCAAGTCAAAGACTTATCTCCTAACTTTTAGGCTTTTGTTTAATCATGATATATTTAGTAAAATCAGATTTGACAAATAAATATAGCAGATAATTATCACATATAAGCAGATTAGGCAGACAAGCATCAAAAAGTCATATTTAGACTGATCTCACGCTGTGAGCATCTATGCTCATATCGTGAGCTGCGACAAAACGGAAAACCAGTTTCTTTTCTTTTGATCGACTCACCAATGTTCAAATACATGAAAGATATCCATAAGCTCTAATACCAATGATGGAAAACATAGGTTAAAAATTCTATGCATTAAGCGGAAAAACATTCAAAAATTAAATGATTAGGGCACATGCAACCTATAAAAGATCTATGTCTTTCACGTAAAGGCAACATGCTATGAACTATCAAAACTACAAAAGCTTCGTATCTAAATCTGAATTCATAAGATGAAATACTATAACACCCCAAAATTACTGGTTAAAAATTTCATTTTTAATTTAGATGAGAACATAAAACATCATTACAAACATCCATGATAAAAATCCATGTCTGAAAAACCGGTGACATCATAATCAGAATTCAGAGTACATCCCAGAAAATCTACAATGCGGAAAACAAATGGGTTATGTGTGATGTGCTGCTACCGTGCCGGCTCCTTTCCCCTAACTGAAGAGGTACCTGAAATCAAAACTGCAAATCGTAAGCACAAAGCTTAGTGAGTTCCCCCCAATATACCCCATACCATACAAGCATATAACAAACGACATTCAACTATGAGATACGGGCCCTGCCCACACTCGTGAAGATACGGGCCCTGCCCACACTTCACTATCTGGGAGATACGAGCCATGCCCACACTCCACTCTCGGAGAGATACGAGCCTAGCCCACACTCAACCGCCAAATCATATCATACAAGTATCACACAGACAACAAGTATAGACAGCTCTATCATACTAGCATATATCGTAATCACTCAATTAAGAGATACGGGCTCGGCCCACACTCTAATACTAACGTCTCGTCTATACGGGCCGGCCTTGGTGCCTTAGACCCGTTACTACTGAAAGGTAACTCACCTCAAAGTAGCTGCTGAACTGATCGGGAACTGACTGACAGCTGCTGCTCCTGCTCCGGAAATCCTCCGGTTGCAATTCCCACAACATACTCAATCAAACACTGCTAACTGTCCTTTAGGTAAAATAACCATTTTACCCCAGGTCTAGCCCTAATTCAAAGTTAGAGTCAACTTTCAGTTGACCCGACTCGCCGAGTTGGCTCTCCAACTCGCCGAGTTCCTATCCAGACGATTGTCCTGAGTCCCTGTTTCTACTCGTCGAGTTAGGCTATGACTCGACGAGTTCTTCTTCAAAACTGACATTCAAGTCCTTCATCCTACTCGCCGAGTTGTATGAACAACTCGTCGAGTTCATCTTCATCTGATGAACACTTATGCGGAGACTCGCCGAGCTGTATGAACAACTCGCCGAGTCTGTTCTTGATCTAAGGAGATTGCCTTGAACTCGCCGAGTCAGGGAATCGACTCGCCGAGTTCCTCCATAGATGAGTTCAGCTTCCAACTCACTGAGTCACACCCCGTGACTCACTGCACACTCGACACTACGAAAAAGGGGGAAAATTCGGAGACTCGCGAGCAGACTCGCCGAGTCACATGAACGACTCGCTGAGTCGTTGCCATGCACCTACAATGTACATGGATTTGCTCGATTCCAGTCCATGCCATTCACAGATTTGGGTTTCTAGGGCATGGATTACACGTAAAGTTTCCAACTTTACGTGTAGATAATCACCAATGAAGGTTTTAGGGCTCAAAGTGCACCAAAAGGGGTAGATCTAGGGCTTTCATGCAATATGACCCCATAAAGGCATTAGATCCAAGCTCCAGGGACTAAATGGTGCCTAGATCTAGAGGCTAACAACTTATTACAACCCACAATGCACAAACAAGCTTGGGGAATGGCTCAAGAAGGACTTTCATGAAGCTAAAAGAGACTACAAGCTTGAAAACAGAGGGGAAACGAGCTATACCTCAAGGAAAACGTTGAGATGACACAAAGATGCCTGGCCTCTTTCTCCTCTTCTTGATCTACTCTTCTTTCTCCTCAAAATCTTCAAGAACACACCAAAACACTTCAATCTCACAAGGAATAAGGGTATAAATGATGTTGGGAGCTCTGAGGGTGAATGGGGGCGAGCTTGGGGGGGAAATGAGGGTTTAAATAGGGTGCAAACCCTTGAAATTTAGGGTTTCATCCAACAGCGGTGACTCGCCAAGTCCAAGATATGGACTCGCCGAGTCGCCAACTTAAACGTGTCCCGGGTCCCGTCCCTACTCGGTGAGTCAGATCTATGACTCGCC